TAATGACTACAATTATCACAAGAACCAACAGGCCCAAAGAATAATTAACAACTGCTATTTTTACTTAGGAATACAGAAAAACAAAACAAAGGGTCAGAGAAAGCAAAAACAAACCCTAGAAATCCGACTAAGTACTTGATGCAACTGAAGATGGAGGGATAGGAAAAAGAATAATGTGGGGAGTGGATACGATGCACAATGGTGGAGCACCATGAGTGCCCTGATGGTGGGTTTTAAGTGGTGCCATATCCATAAAGGGTATGATTCTATAAACCTCTAAATCATTACCTTCTAATGAAATTTTTATTAAAATCATTATTCTCTAGGATATATCCAGATATGTCCTGGGTGTTTTAGATAATATAAAGAACATTTTTTTTAAATGCATAGACTTTGTCTTCAAAAACTACAAAACTCAGTAAAGAATCCTGAATGGTACTGAATATATAAATGTCACCTGTTATGTAAATGATTATACTTATTAGTAACCCAAGATAGAAAAATAGTGAAAAACAAATAAAACATGTTTATTCAGCCTTTATGTTTTTCTTACTGCATAAGAATTTCATAAATGTAATTTTGTTAAAATAACAAAATTTTTCTTGGAGTCAGTTTCCATTCATTTCCCTTAGCACAGCTGTAACTGGCTGCCCACCACCCCAGGTCCTTCAACCACAACATAAAACTCTGAAGTTCTAGGTCCCATGAAAGTGATAGTGGCTAGATTGGACTAACTGAAGAATCACTGGGCCTCAGGACTCAAGCACCATCTCTGTGTGTAGCTGAGCCCTTCAACTGAGTGACTGATCATCTCTGGGGAGGAAAAACTGCTGGCATCTCTTACTGTCCTTTCCTTAGGACTTTCACTACCATGGATGCTGCCTGTTGCCTTTCCCAGCACCTCCATTAAAAAGATGGCCTAGTACATCATCCAGAGGATTGACTGTTGATCCGTAGCTCCCAGTGATGCTTCAGTAAGGGTTTCCTCTTTGCCTGCTTTATCTTGGTTTTCTTTGATAAAGTACTGGCCAGCTCAAATAACTTACTTTGGATGGATTTTCCCATAATTTCATAGATTCAGTCTTGGTACAACTTCATGGAATCTGCTAGTCTATAGACGCATCATCAGGACCAGAATGTCATTGAGAAACCCCTGGGAAAGGTGTATGTTAGATCACAGGGTTGTTCACAAGATTCAACTAGTTCCTGTGTTTTGGGGATTCAGGTAACCAGTTTCTCAGCCATGGACTCAAGGAGGCCACATTCATGTCTATCTGCTCTTGAATGGAGACCAACATCAATTCTTTGCCATGGGACTAAGAAGTAATGTGTTACTGCTTTAACAAAGTGAGATGTTATCCACTATAAACACAGAAGTGATATCATGTCATCTTTTCCATAATCATAGTCAGTTAGAACAAGTCATATGTCATACCCATGCTCAAGAACAAAAGACTATGCATGCGTTCAAGGAGACAGGATAAACCATGGACTATTTCATTAGCTATCTCTGTCAGGGTAGAATTTGGGTGGAAATCTCAGTTAGACTAGAAATTCATTGATAGCAATTACAGGGAAACTGTATCATCTTCAACATGTCTCATCTATTTCACACAATGATTTGCTTAAGACTAATTTTTGTTGTCTATAAATATAATTATAGACATTTAGCAAAGATTCCAGGTAGATTTATAATACTTAAATTTCTCATATTTTATGCCAGTAAGTCTTCTTTTAAAAAAAAAGGTATAGAATAAAATTCTAGTAAAAATTAGAGAAAAGTCACAAAAATGGGGAAATATTACTAGATTTATTGATATATAGAATTATACAAAACTCTCTGCCAATTCAGGCTTACCTATAAAGGAGAAGCATGATTGGATGTGGATCTTCCCATTCCCTCTGAATCTAGACTTGCAAGATCTGGAAAAGTCATCTGCATCCATTACTGAACTGTTCATATTAAGAGGAACATCAAATTCTACCCCAATATATAAGCCCTTGAACCTATTACCATAGGAAACAACAGGTATGAGAGCAAGAACACATACCCATGAGAACTCACCATTCATCCCAGCTACTAACAAGTGGGGTCCAGTTAACATATCAGGAGCTGACCCATTCTTAGCGAGAAGAAATTCATTATGGCTGGACAGAGATTTACAGGGAAATGGCATGTCATTCTCCTATGGGTCAATGTGCTAGGATAGGGGCAGAAGCTTGGAGGCAGAGGCTCATAATGATCTCTTTCTTCATCATTACCATAATTATTCCTGCAGACACCAGTTTGCTTTCCTACCTTTCAACTATACTGATAACCCAGAAACAATGATAAGCCTCTCTCTGTTCCCTGGTGCCTACAACAACGTTTAAACTTTCCATTTGTATGAATCATTTGCCTTCCTTCCTTTGCATTTAAGATAACTGGGGACACTTTGTTACAGGATATTTGTCACTACAGTTAGACACCAAAATCCTTCTGAGATCACACAGCATCCATAGTATTTACAGACAGAAAAAGAGGTAATGCCATTTTCAAAGTCCATGGCCCTTGGGAGATTTATATTTTACCAATGACCCCAGAGATCCATCCTCTTCACTATAAAGTCCAAACCTCCAGAACAATTTTTTCTCTGTGTTGAAGACAGAAAAGTCTCGTGGTTACACATGATGCTGGTAAGAGGTAGAGAAAGGGGCTCATTGTGTTGACTGTGCATTTATTGTTACCTCTTCACAAATAATTGTAGGCCTACAGAAAAGTCAGATAACATTAGGGTCTATCCTATTCTCAGGGATCCATAAAACCTTGCAATATGTGACCACCAATTGGTTAATTAAATAATGCAATATCTCTCAGACTTAACTGAACCCCAGTAATCGGAAACTAAAAAAGAATCAGAAAAATACCCATAATGGCATATATGTGTATTAGAGGCTTTTACTCTCAGGAAGAAAACATTAACTTATATTTTTTTAGTTTGCACAAATTATATCACTAATTTGGATATTATTTTATTTTAGTCATCCTATAATTTATTTTAGCAAAGCTATTTTCTTCCTTTAAAATTATTTTTAAAAATTTAATTGCACAAATCATTATATCATTTAAAAATGTATATGTGTAAAGTCAACTGCCTCTCCATGTAATGACTTTGAAAACATCTACCTGCTCCTCAAAACAGCATTCAAACTTCATACTTGGGGACAGCAGCAATTTCCCCCAGAAAAAATAGGCATGGTTTACTAAGGGAAAAAATTCTAATTTAACATAAGGAACATGCAAATCTCTAACAATGTTATGCTAAATCCAGCTGACCTATCACAAAGTATAAATATGTATGTTATTAGCACATGCAATACTTGAAGCAGTCCAACTCACAGAGAATGTAGAAAGGTGGTTACAGAGGATATAGGGAAGTGGAAATATAAA